TGTTGCATTGTACCATTTTAATAGAAGCCGCAGCTTCTAATACAGATTTTACAGTATATGTTGTCTTTTATCACAGGTAATCTTCAGTTTCCACGTGATTTCTCATAGTGGTAAATCAGAATGAAGAAATCGTGCCATATGTGCATTGACACACCTGCACAAGATGAACCAATAGTCTGTGATTGTACTGAGAACGCACACCTATCAAGGAGCTACATCAGCCGAAGCCAAGAAGATTTACTAGGTAGTGTAAGAAGGCGCACATCATCAACCAACAGCAAACCTCGACCACGCTCAACTATCGGGGCTCCCAAAGGTTCGGATTACTATCAAGATTTCCCAGAACTAACAGTGACAAAAGAAAATCATTCTGGTTCTCAGACTAATATTGCTCGATCACGTGGAGGAGAGTATTGTGGAAATCTGCGAGGCAGTTGTTCATATGATAATATAATCAGCGAGACTAAAGAAAGAGTCATTTCTTCTAGTCCCAGTGAGTCGCAGTTAAATTATAGAGGGTTTTCCAGTCAGGAGAGGCTGGTAAGATTTTGTAGCGACAATACCACAAACTTGAGAGCAAAGTCTGACAAAAGCATGTCTAATAGTATGTCGTCTACTGATGGCTGGTCTGAAATACAGACACTGTTGCAACAAACTCAGCAAGAAAATAATGATATGAGGCAACGAGTTGAAAAGTTGAAGCTAGAAAATCAAGCTCTTAAAGATAAACTGCACGAGATAGGTGCTGGTTTTGAATTAAAGACAGATTCTGAAAAAGCCTTGCTTTTAAATCTCGAAACGTGTGGTACTAAAAGCAAAAGTCCAACTGTGTCGCCGGAATCTTCACCGCAGGATGGAGAAGTGGCCGAAGCTGTAGTGGCAGAACAGTCCCCTGACTGTTGTTGTAGTGGCGGTACAGATCGTACTGCAACTTGCACATCTGATGATGACGCAGTGTTCGTACCTGAAGAACGCTTGTTGCCATCAGAGTCTAGCTGGGAAGTGCAAAGTATTCGCAGCGAGGGTTCGGTGGTCTGCCTGCAAGACAGAATACACCAAATGGAGGAAAATCACCACTCTGTGAATGAAGAGTTGCAAGCAACGTTACAAGAATTGCAAGATTTGCAGGAGAGCGTCAACGATCTGAGCGACGATAACGATCGATTAGTAGAGGAGAAGTCGATATTACTAGAAGCATTATGCAGTCAAACTGAGAAACTGCAAAAATCAAAAACTGAAATCTCTCATCTGAAAGAAACATTGGAGGAAAATGATGTCAGTTATGATGCTGATGCATTTGACAATTGCTACGTCGCTGACAGGTCAGAGATTGAACAACAAATATTGGAGTTAATGAATAATCAGGATGGTGGACTGAAGGAGTTGCTGAATGAGGCCACAGACGGCAAGGAATCTGACGACATGATTGTGGCACTCAAAGAGAAAGTCAATGATCTAGAAGTGACATTGGAAGGTGTCATAAGCGAAAAAATTGAAGTAGAGAAAGATTTGAGCGAATACAAGATCAATGTCGAGAGTGATCAGATTGAATTGGGGAGGTTGCAAAACAAGATTGAACACGAGAGGGCTCGCTCTACTGAACTGTTGAATTGCCGCGAAGGAATGGAGAAATCTGATTTTGAAGTAATGATAGAGAACTTGCAACGAGAAAAAGACGTCTTAGAGACGGAAAAGAGTGATTTGGAAGACTCTCTTGCTAAGAGTTTAAGTGAAAACAGCAAGCTGTGCAACACTATAGCTAAGTTGGAAGAGGAATCTGAACGAAATAAAACAGTTTCTAAATGTGAGATCAAAGACTTGCAGGAGGAGATTGAAAAGCTCAAAGCTGAGAAAGGGGAACTAGAAACAGAAGTTGGCAACTTGAAAGATTCCTTGGAAGAAATGGATGTAGAATGTGAGAGGCATCTCGCTGAAAAACAACAAGATGCTGCCACTATTATGGAACTACAGCAGATGCTGAAGACGATAAAACAACAAAAAAGTGATATTGAGAAGGCACTGTTTGAATTCCGCAGAAAGACTGCCCGTGATGAAGATGAATGGAAGCAGTTTCAAGCGGATTTACAAACTGCTGTGGTCATTGCTAATGATATTCGCAATGAGGTTCAAGAAGAGCTTGACAATTTGAGACGTGATCGTTCATCACTGCAAGAGAAGGTAGATAAGCAAGCTGCAGAGTTGCAGCAGTTGCGTAGGCCGCATGGTTTGAGTGATCATGCAGACACAGGAAAGAATAGAAAGCCAGGGTTGCAGGGTGTTTTGGAACGTAGAAACTCTGAATCCGGATTGAAAAGATTCAATCCTGGTGCGAATGACAGTGTTAAATTATCTGTCAAGAACTTAGTTCAGTCTATTGAAAATGCTGCTTCAGTTAAGGTTGGTGGTTCTCCGCCAACTCCAACAACACCACCAACACATGTAGAACGTCCATCGTTTGAAAGACGCAGATCCATTGGTGGTAAAGGATCTGAACCTAAACAAGTAAAAGCAACAAGAAGATTAAGTAGTCCGCTATTTCCTCCTAGTGACAGTAATAAACTAAGCAGCAGTAGTGCCTGGAAGAAAATGGATGAACCCTTAGGTAGAGATAAGCCAGCGTACAGACTTCAGGAACCAACAGCGGGAAGAGAAAGGGGATTACGTCATCAAAGTGAACCAAAGGATGCTAGACTCGCTGTATCTGCTGCTACACAGCCTAGATACAATGCTAGAAGATCCCTCACTAATATTATTACTAGAAAGATAAACACGCCCCACAAAGATAATCAAGAGGAAAGTAATGGTGTGACTTCACCGGGACGAGGACCAGGATCAGCGTCATATCTCCATCCTCCAATGGCACAAGCTAGGAGATCTAGGTGAGTGTTCAATGTCAAGGTGCTCCTTATTTTACCATAGAGACTACAGAGTAAACAAATGATTTGGCCAGTAGGGGATTAAAATGGATACTTGGCATTCATACAAAAGTTTATGTTGGTATTCAGGGCATATTAATCATTGATGTATATTTATCAGTGATTACATAGAATTTTGTTTTGAATGACAGAATAAACAATTATTGTAACCAATTAATAATACATTACTGACACTGTTTATACAATTAGTATCAGTGTATATTGCCAGGCCATGTTAATATTGCAAATGCAAATTTCCTGGGGAGAACACTGGATATGTAGATTTATGTTTGTAAACTATTAGACTGGCAAAGTCAGACTTCTTTTTTTTTTTTACAAAAACAAATAATTAATTGTTCTTTTAGTTCTTTTAGCGTGATCGCAAAAACTAACCTGACCGCTAAAGATATCCCGACTGGACGCATCTGCTGGAATTTGACTATTCATGATGACATTGATTATTCATGAGTGGGTGTGTGAAAGTAAACATGACTTTTTAATAGTTGATTCGATTTGATTGCAGAAATGGATACTTTAACTTTCTAAGTGTGAAGACGATACTTTCATCCATGTTTACTGAAAACAAGTCGATTTAAATGTTCAATGTATATAAAAAGTCTTTCAATATCGCCAGGTCCCCAGAAGTGAAACTTCACATACATTAACATATGACGTATACAGCTGCACTCTGATTCGTTGTCAGTACTAGTCACCAACTTTTAATTAGCATAATCGCCAGAGTGATTCCGCTCCGGTTTTCACTCCAACGCAGGGGGTCGCTTGCAGATGCGTCCAGTCGGGATTTCCTTCGCAGTCACGCCAGTTTTTGCAATCACGTTAAAAGGGTTAAATTAACAATTATATTTTTGTTTGTAAAACAAAAAATAAGTACCGTCTTTGCCAGTCTAACTATTAATCTATCTTATAAATGCAGTGATGTTAGTGAGAAGAAAGACCCACTGACTACACTAGTAAAAGAAAAAGGTGGATCTAAACGCAATGCTTTATTAAAATGGTGCCAAGAAAAAACACAAGGATACAAGGTAGGTCCAGTGATATCAGTGAATCAGATTAGTTCAATAGTCTGGACCGTCTGCTCTACCCCATTGGTCATATAGCAGTAATCAGTCCAATACATTGATCAGACAATTTGAAGGTTTGGCATTGTATTTTGGATTGTCAGTCTATTTACAGACTAATGGTTGTGAACTAAACACAAATCTGAATTGAAAGCAATGTTTCTGGTTTATCTTAAAGCAGGAGGGTCATCACCTGTGCATGCGCGGGAATCGAGTCCCAAGCGACGATAACAACACACTAAAAACGCAAAGGCTCATGGGTAGACACTTGTTTGTAAACAATGACACACTATGGCCATCTGATGCATGTGCAGATGACGACTCCCCAGTTTTACCTGTCAGTCAGTATATTACAAGAGATAGTTGAGGGAACAGGACAACAAAAATTGTATTTATATAAAAATAATGTATTAATTTGTTTACTTTTTTCATCGTGTGTATGTTATGTGCAGTACAGTCCAAACAAAATTAACTTCTAAGCTGGACTCTCCTTTCCAACAAAATCTCATTAAGGTAGAGATGCTGTTTACCTGACAGGTATTTTAATTAGTTATTAGGAAACCAAGATGACCTCCCTTGTCCACAAAATTATATATTTTCAGAAAGCATATTGTATGAAATTTTATGGACACTGTAGTTTGAAATATGCACAAAAATGTGCTTTTTTTGTCAAAACTGATTTAAAAAAAATAGCTTCTAAACCATGCTTCTGTTTCTTGTCAAAATTGGTTTACGGGTACAAATGGCTGTAACAGTTCCAAATTTAAATGTATTATCGTTTTGTAAAAAAGTTAAATATAATGCATAATATAGAGATCCTGTCATTTCTTTTTTTCACCATGTTTCTTTTTTATTATTTATGTACAGCCTTGCTAAATTTTGCTAAGCATTCAAAAAAGGGAATGTTTGCACTTGTTATCTATATTTTAAAATCATTTTTTGAGTATGTTCCACTATTCACAATTCTACAAAATTTTAACAGTCTATAGCCAAGACTGTTTGGATAATAAAAAGCAAAAAAAAAAAATTTCACTCCCAAGTGCCCACTAATCTGCATCTCTACCTTAATCAATAAATTATACCATAATTTGCTTTTTGTAGTAGTTATCTATGTTACCGATATAAAACTGACAGATTATTGAATCACACAATTTAGATTAATGAGCTGTGCTAGCTATATCCTTTTCAACACCAGTTTCCTCTTTTCATCACAAATTCACAAAATAGTGCCGTATATAGTCTAGAACTTTCATTTAGAAGACTGGGACAAAAATAGCCATACTTTTTGAGCCAAAACTGTTTTTTGGCTTCAAAATTAGGGTTCATTTCCAGAAATATTGAATATAAGAAACAAGTGCAAAATAATTTGAGCAAAAATGTCTGGTGGTGAATAGGTTGAGCCATCTGAAAGCAAGTTAATGTTACATATGGACTGTACTGTAGTTCTACTTGAACTAAATTTGTTTGTGTTTTGCAGGGGATTGATATTACTAACTTTAGCAGTAGTTGGAACGACGGTTTAGCCTTTTGTGCGTTATTACATAACTATTTACCACAAAAGATTCCTTATTATGAACTCAATAATACTGATAAGGTATGTAGCATCACTAACCTAAGGGGTACATTTAGCATCCCTAGCATGTTCCTAATGAACTGGATGCAGTGTGGTAATTTGATTATAATTTTTGTGATAAATGACTCAAATTGATATTGAGTCCACTTTTAACAATTTAAGTAAAGATTTGTTTTTGTTGCCAGCTGCATGTAGACAAACTAACTCTGATTTATATACAACTTTTGATTATAGAAGCGTAATTTCAAATTGGCCTTTGAAGCTGCGGAGAGTGTGGGAATAACGTCAATTCTGGTAAGTAATCGGTTGGCATAGCGTGCAAACACTGATGAAATATGTAATTCTGTCAGTAATTGGTGTATTTGTTTATTATGATGGGCTTGCTTGATTCATACATGTAGCAGTCCCATCCAACTGCAACCGGATTATTTCATTTAAAGTCCAATTTATGTGTAAAATTGCCTGCATATCAATACCATGCATGCTTTGTAACAAATTTTGATGTTTATGAGAAATTTCACAAAAGTTGTTTTGAATCTAAGTCTTCAGTGAAATTTTCAATACTAAAACATTCAATGATTTTCACTACCGGTGACTCAAATTTGTTTTTTTACGCAAGCAAGCAAGTTTAAAGAACCCATATTTTTTCTCACCAAAATTTCTTTGTTACATTTTGACCAAATAGACATAATTTCCTACTTATTGACTACATGTCTTCATCAAATTTTTTTGAAAGAGCGTGGAAAAAATTATGTGGCTTCATTTTGTGAAAAAGTAACACTGAAAATTTGGCATGGTTAAACCCATGCAGAGTATTGACACGTTGACTTTTTCTCGTACAGGCTGCAGACGACATGGCTAGCATGGAGAGACCTGATTGGCAGTCTATTATGACATATGTTTCAGCTGTATATAAACACTTTGAAGGCTAATCTATAGAGCAGAGACACTTCGAAGGCTAATCTATGGAGCAACGATCACTTCGACGGCTAATCTATAGAGCAGAGACACTTCGAAGGCTAATCTATAGAGCAGAGACAATTCAAAGGCTTAATCTAGAGTGCTGAGAACGCTTTGAAGGCTAATCTATAGAGCAGAGACACTTCGAAGGCTAATCTGTAGGTCAGAGAACACTTTGAAGGCTAATCTATAGAGCAGAGACAATTCGAAGGCTTAATCTAGAGTGCTGAGAACGCTTTGAAGGCTAATCTATAGAGCAGAGACACTTTGAAGGCTAATCTTGAGTGCAGAGAATGCTTCGAAGGCTAATCTTGAGTGCAGAGAACACTTCGTATTTGTATACTGCTATAAGATATAGACTTGTTTACCAACCTCTAATGAGCCGTTATAATCAATATATCCTTCCATCTGATGTACCACTATAAAGTGTATATAGTAATATAGACTTGTTTACCAACCTCTGATGAGCCGTTATAATCAATATATCCTTCCATCTCGTGTACCACTATAAAGTGTATATAGACTTGTTTACCAACCTCTGAGCCATTATAATCAATATATCCTTCCATCTGGTGTACCACTATAAAGTGTATATAGTAATATAGACTTGTTTACCAACCTCTGATGAGCCGTTATAATCAATATATCCTTCCAACACGTGTACCACTATAAAGTCTATATAGTAATATAGACTTGTTTACCAACCTCTAATGAGCCTTTATAATCAATATATTCTTTCTTTTAACTAAATACATGCATGTAAATTTAGCATTGTAATATTATAAAGTGTTGAATAATTATGCAAATAGGCTTGACTTAAGTAATCATGGCTTGGTGCTTACTTTAAATTTTGCAGATTAAACTTGAGTGCTTTCATATACGATCAATCTGAAAAAAAAATTGGATTAATGTATACAACAAAGCATTTTACAGAATTATTTTTGTCATGAAAGTTTGAATGCAAAAAAAAAGCCTTGGACACATTTTTTTTGTTTTTACGTAGGACATTATTTATTTTTCTGAATATAATAATCTATAATTAGACATATATTAAAATTTGATATTAATATAAGGGTTGGGTAGTTTAATAAGTAAATAAATAAATAAATACATAGACAATTGTCCATGATGCAATACACACATTGCCCACCGTTTCTATTATAAAAATTTCCAGTTTGTTTGCACATTTGAAGCCAGTGAGCAGAGCAGAGCAGAGCAGAGCAGAGCAGAGCAGAGCAGAGCAGAGCAGACTAGACTAGACTAGACTAGAAAATGAACAAAGTGGATGAAATGCTGATCAACACTAGATGAACAAAATTGAATTGTATATTCATGCAGTTATAAAGCTTGGTGCTTTTAATATAATTTATATATAAATTGGTTCTTTTTTCATCTGCCTTATCTGCTGTATCATTAAATTGCGATGGCTGTAGTGGGCGGTGGTTCTCCCGACAACCACTGTTCATTCTTTTGATATTTATTTTGAAAGTTGTTTGTGTGCTTTGTAATTTAAATAAACTGACCTCCACCCCACCACCCATCACTGATTTACAATCAAGAAATGAAAGTGGTCTAGATTTTAGGGGTATATGTAAGTGTAAATGATGGGCTACCCCAGCTGCTCAATCTGTTTATTTTTCGCTTTGCTATTTTGCGGTAGGGTAGGATAGGGTAGTGATAGCGCGATTACTGATTCACAACTGACAAGAATGCACAAGATGTTTCACGATTTAATTTATGTGCTAATCGAAAAGCTGTGAAAAACTTGGCTGCTCATAGTACGAGTGTTGGTGTACTTACTTAAATCTATCTGCTATACAGAGTGTGAGACCCACATCAAACACGTACGACTGTAACAACCATCCACTATTCTTAATGTGAAACCTGTTATATGACCCCCGTCCCTGCCTCTTCACAGAACACACTTTGGATAGTAACTTTCTTTCCTCCTTGAACAAATAACTACTACTGTTGCACTATAAACTGCTTTAATTTGGCACAAGGGATTTCTACAAGTCGGTGTAAATTGTGACATTTTGCAGCAGTGAAAATGTTTCCAGTGTCATACAACACAAAATGTCAGTGAAATTAAGTCTTTAAAACGAAAACTTCTCGCCCTGAAATTTAGCGTTATACAATTCAAAATGCATCTATTGTTGAACCATTGTTTATTACAATCTCAGAATGCAATGCTATTCCCTTGCCCTTTGAGGGGAGTATTTCAAAAAGCTCTGATTCCTCTGTATAATTTTGCTTGTATGACACAAATTGTTTTCATTACATCTGAACATTTGCGGCAAAACTCTGGCATAAATAAAAACCTGATTCTCGGAATTGACAACTATTCCATATTGACATTAGATGCATTAAAACTGTTAATGAAGATGGAAACATTACTGTTTACAATTTTAATCTCCACTTTTATGAATTTTGTTTTCTGACCTTCATTAGTTGCAATTTATTTTGCCTCGATCAATCTGTGTTGATCATTTTATCTCATTTACGATTATAAAATATTTTGGGAAATGTACCTCCCAGCAAAAATGGTTTCTCTATAATCTTGAGGCACCCTGGTTGAACCAAAAAATTTGTATACATTCCATTAATATGATTACTGATTTAATAAGTGAATTATTATGTAATGTGTTATAAGATTCATTGCTTATATACAAGTTGATCATAAGTCATTTCGCCTTATTCATTGTACACTGTAGTGAAAAATGTTCGTATGGAAAGATTTTACTGTATATTTTTATCATGTTTTGTCTTTTAGTCTAATTTTTGTTTTTTTGGACCAAATTTACCAGAAGCTGATATTTATTCATTTTTGATAGTACTGTGGTGTTTTGTTAACTGACGGTCGTTATGTACTCCGGTTACAATAAAGATTTTTCTGTAATTGTCTTCAAGTTCTCATCTAAAGGTGCTTCAGCTTGGAAATTGTTTTGAAAATCAAAACTTGATAAATTTTGTCGTTTTTGCAATATATAGTATATATATTTAATTATCATTAATTCTCGAAAAAATTTTTGTGTATTCGAGTGTATCTCAATCACGAGTCGTCCCAAGATAATACTCCTCAACTGTAACCAAAACGCACTCGTGCTAAGTAGCTTGGATTTCACCAGGTAGTGGAAATTAAAATTGGAGGAAGGTGTTTTACAAATAAATACGGCATACAAGAACTACTACACTATATGTATATTGTTATATCAGTAGTTTTATTATTGTGATTTTTTTTCAACAACTAATATAATTTTAAAGTTGCTTATTTATATATATGCCCTGAAGTGATGCTATTATTGAAATGTATATTTTGTTCCATGAGTGCGACTTGCACGTCATTTCCTTCATACAAGCCCCTAATACGGTATAACATGTTCCATACCCCAAATGGATGGGATACTATTTGTAAAATGGCATGACTATACAAACTTGTAGGGATATAGTATGTCTTGTATTGTATAGCAATTATTAGCAAATTATGTTCAAAAACTATTTTATTTAAGGTTACATGAATAAATGTTATCGTTGTTAAAGTTTTGCAAATATAATAAGATATACTTTGTGTGATTGAATCTATCAGCATTTTCAATGTATGTTTGCTGTCAGATTTATTGTTGAAGGAATAATAAATATACATTTGTTGTGATAACGCAGTGTGTGTGTAATCCAAATTTATCAACTGGACTCTGCTTGCTTCTCCTGTAGATCATCTTCCAAAAAAAAAAAAAACAAGTATCTAAATGTCATGTTGAAATTCACTTCTCTGTGATGATACTTGTTTATTTCCACATGTACTGAGAAATGTTTTGTTTACTAAACTGGGATGTCATTCTTCCATTTACTGTCGTCTCAATAATGAATGGTACACCATATCAACACATTGCAAGCTATTAGGAACACAGCTGTGTAATAACACTCTCGATTTGATTTTGTGTCAATAACAAAGTCCACAGAGACCACTAAGCACAATTCAGAGTTGAAAACAAAGTGATACTGGAATGATGGCTTCAAAGCCTCCTTGTCGTCCACATCAGCTAGCACCTCTCAATGTCTTGTATATCCAGTGATTTATTACACAAAATTTATTGTAAGAGGGGAAAAATAAAGTAAGCATCAAATTCCCTCTTGAGAATGATGTGACCCAAAATCAGATTGCACTTTCCATTGTGCAGCTGCGTTGACAATATTGCTGATTTAGTGTGGAATTTATTTTTGCAATGAGTAATTCAGGCATCGCGTGTTCTTGTGTAAATGACAGACGTGTCTTGTTCCTAACCTGTCAAATTTGCACGATTCAGTACAAATGTATGTAATTGCTGTTGCTAGGTGTGTTGTCATGGTTGCCAAAGGTGTTCTACTATAATGTTCCACGTTATGTGCTGTTGCAGGGCAAACAAAAAGTACACCAAGAACTGTTATGTGGTCCTGTTATGTACCAAAACATTTTGGGTAATTTAATTTTCAACCAATATCCATCTTCTGCTGTAACAGTTTTTGTAATAACTAGTCTTCTCACCACACACCCACATGAATGTATCATCAGATAGATGAATTATTAGTGAATAAAAGTAAAGTAATCACTCACAATATTTCCCTCTCAAATATTTACATTTTTGTGGAAGACATTCAGTCTGCATTTTTCACACAATGCACAACATCTTGCATTGAACATATACAATGTACTTCCATATTTCATGCAGGAAGTCAGCACCTAAAACTGATGCTCTAAAGTTCGGAACACGTATACGTGGAGCACTCGCGGACTTGCGAAGGGTGTTTGATTCTGTGAACAAGTAAATGCCATGTGTATCTTGTACAAAAATCACCTATTGGTTAAAAATAACAAATTGTCTCATACATTGGCATTTCAAATTCTGCCCTAGGTTTTTGCCATGCATACGTTGCAAAATAAGGGAAAGTCTTTCTATAAACAGGAAAAAAAAAAATCCTGTTTGTATTTGGATGCATTTAAGGACAAAAACGTAGGAATCTTATCAAGGGAATTTTATTGAAATAAAGTTTACAAGCACATGAAACCATGTCTTGCCTTATCAAAATTTGAATCAAATGCACATCATGTTTGATGTCTATTCTAAGTTTCAATAAAATTTCCATAGCTTGTCTGAAAAATGGTTGATTTTTAAAACAAAAATGCCTGGCAGTTGGACACATGTCTACAAAACAAAAGACAAACTCAATGTAAACAAAATTAGTCAAAGCATGTCTAAGAAAATAAAACCAACATGGTCGCCAGTCAGCCATTTCAGTTAGTCGAAAGGTAAATGGAATGAAAAAAAGATGTGCATATCTATACTGTTCTGAATTTTCATTGTGCCAACTTCAACAAAATAAGTCCAGTCATGTTGAGATACATCTGACATACCGACTGCACAGAGCAAATGAAACCCAAAACACTGGTTCCTGTTTGGGACTACATTAGAGAGGAACAAAAAAGTCGGAGTGTAATAGAAGAAACAGAGTCATGTATGTATCAGACTAATCTTGATTTCTGAAGTCATCTTTACTTCATAGGTCTGAAAACCTTGCGAATTGATGTTAATTACAAAAGAATCTAAGAATAGACTCGATAATTGATGGATCTTGGCAAGAAACCGTATGTCGATATCTTATGATATTGTAATTATTTTATTTGGTATGTTATTTCATGTGTCGAGGGCTTCCAGTGAAGTAGATACAAAAGTAAAAATCTGCTTTCACCCCTTCTCACAGAATGAAAGTAAACATGCATGCATATTGGTAGTCAAAGAAATTAAAATAGTTATTGTTGAAAAAGTAATATTTCAACAATAGGCCAAAGTTGAACAGAGAATGCTGAATTACTTGCACACATAACTGAGTAAAAAGAGAAAAAATAAACTATTGATCAACCTTAAAGTTGTACTCTGAATTCAAGTTTTATATTTGGTTTTTTGCAACTAATATTTGATTGTCTGAATTACGGATAGTCTGTAAGAAACTTCCGAAAATTCTTAGCGCTTGTTGATGAAC